TATCCATGGGAACAATGTTGAACCTAATACCTATGACGGGAAATAGGGACAAAAAGAAATATTTAGTAATGAGACATCAGCGGGGGATCAACAGAGCACAGAAGGCCATGAAAAATGTATAAGAACTCCCCAAGAATGACAACCAACGTCGGACTGGCCAGACGAGCAGAGCATATATGCATCAGAGTCATGACCACGAATGCAGCGACAGACATCTAGTAATGAACAAACAAAATCCACCCCATAGCACACGGTTGACACACAAAGGAGGGGAACTCGGTAATAAGGTCAGGGATCCAAAGAAGTACATTTGGTCCACACACGACAGTGAACACCTACACGACCAGGAAACACTAAAAGGACACAGCAGTGAAGCTAGAACATGGCGGCAAATCAACAACAGCGATCTTAGACAAACGTCGTTTATGAACGACACCAACCAAAAAGGCTTCGCAAAGACCCCTGCAAGGCTGCAACCTCAAATGTAGACAGACAACAACAAAACAAAGTGTACAACATGACGATCCTGACCACGCATGCAGGACAGACATCTAGCAATAAACAAACGAAACGCATCCTGCAGCACACGGTTGACACACAAAGGACGGGAACTCGGTAATAAGGTCAAAGGTCCAAAGAAGTACATTTGGTCCAAACACGGCATTGAACGCTCGCATGACCAAGAAACACCAAAAGGACACAACTCTGAAGCTGAGCACATAACGACAAATCAACAACAACGGATCTTAGGCACATGTCATTTATGAACGGCACCAACCGAAAACTTGCGAAAAGGCTTCGCAAAGACCCCCGCAAAACGAAAGGGAACACACATCCGACCTGAGAACGAAAGCGGACAATAAGTAGGGGCATCCGAACTTGTGAAGGAAAAATCCTCCACAAAGAGGTTAGAGAAGCTGAAGACTTTGCACCTATGAAACACCCGCGGACGCATCCACGGGTCCGATCTCGGATGGCGGACGCAGATGGGGCTGCGTCCGCGGCCGACCTGATCCGCGCTGCGGACCTGATTTTACCAGAATTTTCTTGAATTAAATAATAGGTTTTAATATATATATATACGGTTTACCTGGCAGTTCTGTTTGTGATGATATATATATATATGGGGTTGTAGGGAATTTTAAGCCCTACAACCCCATATTTTTCTTTTGGGAATCCGACTTTGTTTAGGATTTTTCAAAAATCAAAAACTAAATTCGATTTAAAGACAATTAAAAAAAAATATAAAAAAAAGCTGGATTTTTTTTTGTTATTTTTTATCATGAGATCTATGGTCCCTGAGTTCACCTGTTTTTTTTCAGAAATTTTTGCAGGGGTATGAGGTGTTTTAAAAAAATGCAGATGCAAAATTTAAAAATAAAGAAAGAAAAAACTTCAAAAAAAGGGTTTGAATGATCGATTGATTGATTGATTGATTGTGAGTGAGTGAGTGAGTGTGTGTGTTTGTGTGTGTGTGTGTGTGTGTGTGTGTGTGTGTGTGTGTGTGTGTTTGTGTTTGTGT